ACGTGTTTGAATGCATTATTCAGTTTCTAATAGTCTACAGTTTCCATCCTTCACTTCCAATAAGGTACACTATACATAGAAATGTTAACTACTTATTAGCAGTGGTGGATTATAATGTGGGTTCTAGCCAAAGTTATAAAACTCTAAAGCTGGCCATAGACATTAAATAATGGTTGGACTTCAGGGCAAGATCTAAGCATCTTGCAAAGTCTTTTCAGTCAGCTTCTATACTACGCAGAAGTTCTCTAGTCACAAAGTAGAGGCCATAGAGGAGTGTCAGTGCTAGCTTATCATGAGGGAAACAATTGCAATCAGGTTTTCTAACTTTTCTAGTCACTTTCTACAATGGGAATGATCATTCAGGGTTATTGAGGCTGCCCCTCAGACGTTTGTTTCTTCCCTGAGCTGTCTGAAAATAGAAGACGGTCAACGAATGTCTATATACACCTTAAGAGCTGCTATATACACCAGTCTTCTTACCAAGAACAATGGGCTGTGCAAGGTCTTACTGTCTTTATACAGACAGAACACTGTCAGAATTCAAAACAACTTTTTTTCCATGGTTTGGCAGACATCTGGAAGTGATCAAAGATGAAGGGACATTTCCTATTTCTATGAAAAAGGAAATGCTCATTGATTTACTAGAAGGATTTCCAACATGTTTGTAATAATTAGCATTTTTACTGCTCAAAAGTGTTCATTATTACTTGGGAGTTAAAAAGTATCTAAAACCAAACACTAAACCAAATGTGCTGTTACTCATGTTCATATAATGTCAGCTTATCAGCTAGGTATATCCACAGGTGCTTCCTTTCCTCGGGTGACAAAACTTACTCAGTTCAACTAAGGTTTTCTCACTCTTTTCTGCATACTCTAGCCTTCAGGGGCAGGGCCCTCCTTACCATCTTGTTTTGAATTGTATTGTGATTGCAATGTCTTCCTTATATTGTAAAGCGTTTCGCAAACTGTTGGCGCTATATAAATCCTGTATTATAATAATAATACTCTCAGTGGAGCTACAAGCAGCCATGCCAATGCACAGGCATATTCCACTGTATTCACAGTACAATTGTGGCATTTAGCATCCGGAGTGCATGCAGTTTTAACAGGACTCTACAAGTTAGTGAAAGCTGTATTATTATTATTATTATACAGGATTTATATAGCGCCAATAGTTTGCACAGCGCTTTACAATATAAGGAAGACATTACAGTCACAATACAATTTAAGACAAGATGGTAAGGAGGGCCCTGCCCGTAAGGGCTTACAATCTAAAAGATTTTTAACCCAAAAAAATAATGCAATCCTGTTTCACTTACTCTGTGTTCTACAAAACGAATTGACCTACTTAACCAACAATGCTAGATTGTCTAGCACGTGATTATTGAGCTAGTTGCCTGACTTCAAAATCTCAGGCCTTGTATAGATTGTCTAAGTAGCTTTTCACTTTAAGGTGGCCCAGTTATTGCCAGCAAAAAAAAGGGAAGCTGCAGTGAGGGCAATGTAAGAGGAATTTAAGAAGTCTTTATCACTTTTCCTATAACAGACAAATGCATTCTCTTTCTGTATGTTGCAATTTATGGTAGCTAGCTAAATTTCTCATGATTTTAAACATGAGTTGAGAAGTTTGCCTGTCTTCAACATTGTGTTTCTGCACTTTTTTCTCACAATGTGTTATATCTTTTCCTGTGAAAAAAGGAACAATGCATGATCGATTGATCATAAAGATTTCCCAGACTGTTAGACTAATGTCAGGCCTATTTTTGTCACTTACAATCACAGACTTTGTAATTGAACTCTATTTTAATTCTCAGAAAAACATATTGACCTGGTCCTAGCTATGTGAATGTGTGATTTTAATAATATTGGCTAAAAGCTGCAAATTTTTGTGAACAGAGTTTTCGAGGACAGGAAATTAGAAAACTGTTTGGTATTTTTATATTTCTGAAATTGCTGAAAACCCCAGCAAGGTTTGATTTGCATATGGAAAGTAATACCTTAACACTAAGGGCTTCTAACTGTGTACTGGTGTACAGCTGTTCTTTAATATTAATTGCATTAGGACGATGCACTTTAAGGACCAACCTCTCATTCAGGAAAACAACATCTGTGTGTTTCTTTACTGCTTGCTGATATTACGCAGTTTATTCCAAGATGTCACAGTCCTGGTGCAATTATCCTGAACTTTGGCTGACTCACATAACTGTCAGAGAAGGAACAGTTTGGAAAGGCACTGCCTTGTAGATTGATGTTTGAATGCATTTACTTATTAAGTAGCCTTGACTTGGCGTTGGAGCTTTGGTTTTATGGAATACTATTTGGCACACAAGGCTCAGTTTCTCAAAATAATTACATGTCAGCAATGGCTGTGTTACGGTTCTGCAAGCTGCATCATGTTGAGAACTGTACACAGACTGGATTTAACCATCCATATTCAGTTATGCAGTGTTTAGACATAACATAAAGTGAAAATTCAAAATAAAAGTGTATTTAACATGAAGACACTTTATTCCCTTTTTCATTTAACCTCTGATATCTGTTCAGTACACCCTTCTATACAGAGGTCAGTACACCCAAAATAAGCAGATAATTCTGCTGACATTCAACTGATTTCATGTGGTGACTCTGGATTTTTTTTAAATATCATTGGTTGAATACCTGGGTCTACACACCTGCTGTGCTGTGGCCATTAAAGGAGAACTAGGAGGTGAGTGATTTTAACTCAACCTCATAGTTCAAGCCGACGTGTGACAATTAAACTGTCACACGTCGGCTCAATAGATCGGGAAATGAGCGAACACATATCGTGGCTCGCTCACTTCTCGATCCTGTCCCTGCAGAGAGCCGTGACTGTCACTCACGGATCCCTACAGGGATCCCCCCTCTCCGCTCCGATCCACTTCTCGATCCTGGAGGAACGAACGGGGGAGGGGGCGGGTACAGCTGGCTCTGCCTCTAGATAGGCAGAGCCAGCTGCCAATCACGCAGCTGGGTGGATCTCGACAGTAATGTCAGGATCCGTCCCGGTTGAGGCGGTCTCAGTATACCGTGAGCTGTAGCCTCGCAGTATACTGAGCTTTGGGTCACGGGAGGACGCTAGTATATGTCCTCCCGTGACCCTGAGGAGAACTGTGGGGAAAAACACTGACCCCCATAGTCCTCCTTTAAGCTGGGGTCCGACTAATCATGTTGGATTTTTTATTAATTTTATATACCTATACTATTTTTTATATACTCTATCAACAGTAGGATCTGCAACATGAGAAAATATGTATGCTGTCAATATTGCTGCTGTTGTTGCTCTCTGGTCTAGTTGTATTTACTGGTACCTAGGTGACAAATCTGCTCTTGTCCAATTATGTCAGGAGCTGGATGGTGTTATTCTTTTTTACAACACTCCACATTTTTTATTTAACATGTAAATATAGTACAGCAAATGCTTTTCTCAAGAACGCCTTTTTTTTAAGAACATCAGGGTAGTTGATCAGCACTAGTTCAAGAATTAGTGTCACTTGTATCATTCTTCCTTCAACCCACAAGAATAATGCATCCTAGCCAATAGTACCTAGGATTGGTCTTAAGTATTTGTAAAGGAGATTGAGAGTTATCCAAATATGAATGTTTTCTATAAATTTGGCTGACAAATGAGCAGGCCTAATTATTTCTAAGTTCTGAATTTTGGCCAACATATGTAATGGCAAGCACAGGGGTGGCAAGCACTAATGTGGGATTAGAAGGGGCGATTTAATTAATTTGTCAATGCTATATCACTACATTCAATAAAATATTTATTTTATTGTATAAACATTTTTAAATGTGTTTTAATGTATACATTGATGAGGATGTGTAAGAATACATCACTGTACAAATATATGGATTTTATTTTCATACTTCAATTAAATATTAGAACAGTAAAGGTTAACATGCTTGGAAAGTTAATAATACGTATGAGTAACAATGTGTTTAGGATTTTATCTTGTAGTAAATGGACAAATAAAAAATTAACTCCAATGCTCAATAATGTACATTGGTGTTAGCAAATAAATAGGTTTTGTTTTTGTAAAGGTCAGTTTCTCTCAACACATAGGTTGACAAAGAGAGGTCATCTGTTATCATTAATCACCCTAATCATTAGTAAATGTCACTAGCACAGATGGAATATCCGTGTTGTTTTTAATTTAGAAGTATCATCCTGTTCCAATTAGAGAAAAAAATAGATAATACTGTGCTTATTTTAATGGAACTTCACAGTGTAGTGCACATTTGACTGCAAATGTGAACAGGGGTTAGCTGGTATGGCAGAGCTTTCCCTAGTCAAAGAGTGGTACTGGCCAGTGTCATAAACTGTAAACAGTATATTTTACAATAAGCCTGTTGACCTGTGGTGGTCAACGACCTTGATATAGAGGGGCCTTGAGTGCAGCATAATGTTCAGTGAATGTAATTCTACAAAAAAAAAACTGTTAGAGACTGCAGATATGCAACAGGAGATGTTCAAAGACTATGAGCTTGCTACCCGTGATCGTCAGAGACTGTAAACATGGTATCGTTCTTAAAGACTGGGATGTCATAAACTGGAGACTCATTATACAAGACTGCTAGAGATCTCTGCCATTACAGCTCCTTCACAAATCAAAGCTTCCACATTTGTGCTCCCAAAATCCCCCTTAACACATTATTAGTGACTCATGTGACATATTTCTCTTACCCAGATCCATTAAAAAAAAACACAAAAGAAATAAAAGTGAAAAGAGATAGGCAGCACAGAAAAAAGTAAGATAGTGGGAAATACATTAAAAAAGGTTAATTTACCTACTTGAACCAAATCTAAGGGATATTTTCTTTCCTGGCCTGAGCAAACACCTAGACAACAGAAAACAGACTGCTGTCTGCAGTCTGGTCCATAGGTGCCAAAAGGCTGCAGCTTGAGCACCAGAGTTGTAAAGAGATAAATGTTTCACAATTGTTAAATTAGTTATTCTTTAAAACATAATATACAGGGTTTTTTTTTTACAATACATGTGGCAGTTTTTAGAAAAAAACTGTAATTTTCCTAAACAAAATGGAAGCTGCAAAAAATAATTCATTACTGGCTTTAATAGAAACAGGAAGAGAAGAGAACAGACCTCAGTGCCTCATGTTTTCTATGGCAACCAGCAAGAACTGTATTGATGTGTAGATTATATGCCAGCTTCCTTTATGAAGGTGTACTGGCTCTTCTTAAAAAATATTTTTTATGTTTTGATGTCAAAGATGTTTTATTCCTTTTTTCTTAGTTCTCAAGCTTATGCAGCAGCCTACCCATTATTTCTAATGTTCTGAAATGTTCCTGTTGGCACAATTTAAATTCATAAGCCCCTAAGAGTATCTTTTATGGATGATACTCCCTAAAAGTGTTTGGAATGAGTATTGCCTACAGCAATAAGTTTCTAGCTAAAACATATTCCTATATGCACAGAATATTACTGGATATTGAGTTATTCTATAAACCCCCAGTGGTGAATAAATACCACCAAATGAAAGCTCTATCTGTCCTCAAAAAAGGGTATGAAATTCATTTCAGTACAGCGCTGCATGACGGAATAAATGTCAGTCAAAGTACCGCAGCGCTGAATACTGAAAAATGGCCTGGATGGGAAGGGGGTTTAACACCGCGGATGTCAACTGGTTAAGCCCCAGAGTTTGTTGATCCTGGGAATATCCGATTGCCTTATGGGGTCAGGAAGGATTTTTTTTCCCCTGTTGGAGCAAATTGAACCATGCTTTATAGGGGAGGGGCTGCCTTCCCCTGGATCAGACCTTCCCCAATTGTGGGCATAGCGTTCTGTTTGGGCTTTCTTTTTTTTTTATATAGGTTGAACTCGATGGACATGTGTCTTTTTTCAACCTGACTAACTATGTAACTTGACTGGTAGCTTGAGGCTACTCAAACAGTTCTCACTGCAGACACCGTGATTTCTTATTCCATACCCCACCCTATGTGGTACTTAAAACATTAAATACAATAATAAAAGAAGACATAATTTTCAGGATCCTGGACCCATTACAGTATCTAAAAGGGGAGGCATGCTTAAATTGCAAAGTGTTAAATGCTAAGTCAGTAAACCATAGCAAGCCATTAGATTTCACTTTCCTAAAGTCAGACTAGTGCTAGAAAGATTGTGTGTAGTTGGTCTGGTCACTGCACTTTGCCCTTTGCTCTTTGCCCCTTATATATTTGTTTTATTAAATAGGCCCCTATGTCCTGTTTCTGTGTGTTAAAGACAACAAACTATTCTTCACAGTGAAATTCTAGCTAACAACCCTCTCCCCATCCACACAGGAAGTCCCCACCCAGTACACATGTGCTGGAAACTAATTTGTTAACAGCACAGAAAAGCGCAGAGCGAACATTAAAATCTGAAAGGGGCTCAAGCCTTCCTCTACTCTACGAAAAATATTTTTATTTTTGACAGTGTTGCTATTGCTTGTTGTCTGGCAAAATGTTGCCAGCAGGATGGAAAGTGAAGTGAAATCTCTCTAACAGAGCCCTTGATAGCAGTAAAAACCTAACAGTGGTTCTTACTCTTCTCCACACTATCCAAAATTAAGACATGTTTTTGGCTTAAGGCTCCACTCATAGTTTTTCAAACTTACTAATGTATGTTGAAATTTGTTGCAATACATGCATTTTATATAGGTTTGTGTGTGTGTGTTTTCTTTTACTTTCTATTTAAAACGTTGGCATTTGTGCAGATATGTTAAACATGCGTGAAGAGCATGACATGTGTATTTTCTGGTTCCATTCATTGCTCTGGGCCCAAAAATCTGTTTAAAAAAGAGAAACCCTATTGGAAAGCAATGATGTAGCCTACATTCACTGTAAGTAGCTCTCCATTAATACTTAAATAGTTTTTAAGTGGTAGAGAAGAGCATTGTGCCTCTGGGAAAAATACACATGTCATTGCAGAGTATAATAAATATTAAAGTATCAAACTGTAAGATAAAAAATACATGTGACTACATTTTTTCTTACAAAATGTGTGTTTACTTGACTAACCCCCTAAGTCCGCCTGTATGCACATATGTGGCAGCACTGCCATACTTGCATACCTTTATTTGTGCTGGCAGTTTGCTCAATTTCCACCCCCAGACTGAGCTGCCACCCAAAGCCCCTGGTCTCTGAGTAATGATCGGGAGTTGGTTAGATGGGCTCCTAAACACGTTACCACAGCCAATCACACTTATCACAAGTTTCGGAAGCCTCTCTTTCTCCTATGTGAAGCCTGTTAAAAAAACCTCAAGAAGAAAAGCTTGTATAATAATAACAATAATAATAATAATAAAAAAGATAGATTGGGGCTTGATCTAGGTTAGTGTTATTGCAAGATTAGTGTTAGTGTCAGTGTTGGTGTGGCTCAGGTAGGATAAAAAAAAATGTTTTATATTTAGTGTCACCATCATTGCCAGTGCAAGCATATTGTCAGCATCTATGGCACAGGTGGCTGAGATAGCTAGAGAAATTGTACATTTTACATTTTAAAAAGAAAATAGACTTTATAGCAAGAACAGTATTCTTCAAGCTATCTCTATTGGAATTAACATTATTAAATTATGACTGTCATTAGAATTCTGTTTCATGCAGCAATTATAAGGATGACCTCTTTGTTACCTCTATAGTTTGTTGTCTGCAGAGAATTCTGCTTTAATAAATCAAATTATTATTTATTACAAATGTAACATAACATGACAGTGTTATCGGTTATGTGATATAATTTCATCCCACATAGCCATGTTAGATTGATTAAGCAGGCTATTGGGGCTCTGAAGTCAAATATTTAAAAACAGCTGGGGGATATCTCACCTCCTAACCCAGAAACACTAGGTTTAACTAGCGTATTGCCAGTCTTTATAAATAATTATAGTGTATGTGATTTATAATGACTTGCCTATGTTCTGGTACTCTTAAAAGGAAGTTGAAGGGGCAACAAGCTTGAATAAACACATTATTTCTTTTTGGAGGAAACTTGTAATTAAATTGTCAACAGAATGGCAACTGAAAAGGCCATTTTAAGTGTTGACATTTGACCTTTGAGTGTTAGAGGAGTGCTATGTCACATTATAAAATGTGGAATCAAAGTTTAAATACTTAATTAGAGGAAATACCCTCAGAAGTGAATTATTCAATCCAGATGTAGATAAGTGTCACCTATTCTGGTGTGGTTGTGTGGACCTTTTATCTGATCCCAAATGTTTTACAACTGTGTGGACAGTTATAACTTGCTAAAGCAGCTGCAAGACATTCATTTTGACTAGTGTTAAAAGAGTTCTAAAGACACAGCATATACTATCCTGTTATAATTGCCATCAGCATTGTAATAGGAATACAGACTATAGATGTTTTTGATAATGTAATCAAAGCTGACTTGAAAAAATCTCTTTTATATAGTAAGCGCTGCCTTACGTCTGCCCATTACTTTCAACAACTTCCTGGATTGCCAGTGTGCTCTGCTTTGCATCTCTTCACCTACTGCTTGATGTGATACAGTCTCAATTTGTCAAGACTATATATCCCATCATGAATTGCTTACAGCAAGCAATGGCGATGTTACATTGTGTGAAGTTCAGATGATGAGTTCTAGTTCAGACAGTAGGCTAATTTTGAGTGGTGACACAAGGAAGTGCATATTTTCAGGGCTGAGTGAAATTGTGTCACTGCATTGAGGAAGTATATCTAATGGACATCTTCAGTAAGTAAGCTTACAAACTGATAACAAAATGATTATTAGGAGTGAGACAGAACGTATGAAAATTCAATACAGAAATACATATTTATTTTTAGTTTTTGATCATAGATACCCTTTAACTGAGCTTTTAAAGAAAGTTGTACTTTACAAAACAGAGACTACTGCAAACACAAACATAGTCACACTATGAATCTAAAAAGATGACATTGCAGTGCACATAAATATAAACAGAGATGCTATTTATCTTACATATATTATCAGCCTAAAAAACTAATAATGTGTTAGTTATTATTTGCAACATACACACTCTCTGCTCTATTTATTTTTTACTTATAACTATTATTAGAACTACGTTATATTTTGCAAAAATATCTTAGAGCAGGGCCATGGTTACACATTCTGCTGGTACCTGTCACTAAGCTGGTATTATGAAAGGAAATTATGTAAGTAAGCCCTGTTAATACCATTAAGCATTGCTGGCTGAATGGATGAAGATTTTATATTTATAATGCATGCCGAACCTTTGTGTGTTTAGCTCCACTCTAAAGTTCACACACTATTTTGATCTGTTCCTTTATACATGTAAGGCCTCATACAGGAGCATTAAGATTTCAGTACTCGCCACAACACATCTTGGGCACACAAGCTATTGCCTCTAGTATGATTTAGTCTATATCTGGGTAAAAAGGATGAATATCATATGCAATATACTAGCAGGAAAATATATATTGTGTGCTTGGATACAACAAATTCATAGTGTAAGTGTAGGTAACTTTATATGTGATTCTAATTTACATATACCTGTCTTCTGTTCTCAAAAACAGACTGGGGGGGATTTATCAAAACTGGAGCAGATAAAAGCTGGAGCAACTGTGCATGGCAACCAATCTGCTTCTATCTTTCATTTTCAAATGTTAATTGAACAAACTTAAGAGAGAATCTGATTGGTTGCTAGGGGAAACTGCTCCAGATTCTGTCTGCTCCCGTTCTGATAAATTCCCCCCAGTGTCTTTTATTCTCAGTTATTGTAGTGTTTATACTTTGTAGCTCTGATTGTGCTTGTGGCATGTGCAGTTCCATTAGAAGTTGTGTATATGACTGTTCTCTCTGCTGTGGTCTCTCCAGCTGGAAGACTGCCATTGTAGCATGCATATTTTTAGTGAAGGCATTCCTCACAGATAGTTTTGGCATGCTGCAGTCCACAGGGACCTTTTTTCTCCCAAAATGATAGATGAAGCACGTGTGTGTCTGTAAAATGGCGTAACCATTGGCAAGCTGCTATATACCACTGATAAATGTCAAGCTAATAATGCAACAAAGCCAGGCCTAGGGCATTTTTGAGCATCTGAAACTTAAACAGAACACTCCGAAGGACTTAAATAAAGAGCTAAATTTCCTGCTTTGTAACATAATTGCAGAGCTTTCCATATGGATTCAGCATACTTAAAAACGTTGCTAAGATAATGTACATAGCATTTCTTTGAAATATAAATCCAGCCAAAACTTTTTTTGAGGTTTAGATATACCAGGGAAGGAACAGAACAGAGGTTTTTATTGCTGTCCACGTTTTATGAGGGTTCACAATATAAACAATACAACTTGTCTTTCTAAAACCTGAGGTTCTTGAACTAAAAAAGTGTTTTGATTGCTGTGTGTATCCACAGTAGATAGATTTCCTGTCTTGACAAAGGGTTATCTTCCAATGTTATCTTCCAAGCCACGCATTTCATTGCTTTTTTTTGGTTACTATAACATGCTTGGACTTCTCTTGTTTCTTTTAGATTGAGGATATTGTTTGTAATATAACTGTTCTTGGTAAAAACACAACAAAGCATAGTTTTGGTCTGTCCACAGTTTTTCCTCTTTGTTCCGAGGGCACTGGCCTAGATCTTATGTACAAACTCTTGTATTAGATCCCTGTGGTGTCATCGGATTTTAACATGCCAATAATATAAACCTGTATTGACTGCCTCTTATGCAAAGTAACGTGGAAGCTTTGCAGCAAGGCCCACAAGGTGCCTGCTGTTACTGACACAGATGTATCCATCTCCCCAGTGCACTACAATAGCTCTCACAAAAATGATATACAAGTATAAGTTTTCAGAAGGATAGCCCTCCCACCAACACCATATACATATAACAGTTCTCTGACCTGCAATAAATCACTGCAGGAAATGCTAGGAGGGCAGTTGGTGCTGTACAGGAAGGAGCAGGCATTATAGGGTATCTGCTGCAAAACTTCACCCTTAATTTGCTAAGTGAGCAGTCAGTAAAGTGTTGCTTGACAATCACATTTCTCCAGAAAAGTGGAAATCTTTTGAGTTTGTGATTCTTAGGGGTTGATGTATATATGTATATGCTGGGCGAATGCGATTCACATGACATTCTCCCCATTAGATGAAGCTGAGGAACAAAAGAATTTCTTATGCTCCTCGGCTCCATACAGTGACGGGAATACTGTGCAAACTGCATTCGCCCAGCTATGCAAATCTTTTATACAGCAGCCCCTTATGATTCTGCTGTATGGTAAGCATTGGATTATTCTAATACAAAAATGGTTATGAAGCCTTTAGTTTCTGAAACGATTATTATCTTTTGCTATCTTACCAGTTCTAATTTTGTAAAGGAAATTACATGTAATATAACTTTTATTTTATTTTTGAACAGAGCAGAAGAAAAAACGGTAAGGTAGAGTTGTGATGTTGTAACTTATTTCCCTCTCTTACAGTTTAAGCATGAAGAACAAAAATATATTTATCTGTATATTAAAAGCAATTACAAGCACTTTTCCGCTTCTTTTCAGCAGGCGCAGCCTAACGCGGACTGGCGTATTTCCCAGGCTCAAAGACCTGGACCTAGTGGGTGAGTGGACGCTGATCATTTTGTATTTGTACCTATAAAATTGTGTGAGGAAGCTAAATAAAAGTATAATGTGTTCCTTGAAGTATATTTCCACTTTTGCAGTCAAATTTGAGAAAACCCCACGATATGTTTGCTATGTGTTCCCATTCACACAGCATAAGTAAAAAAAAATTTTAAAAGTATTTCTTACCTTGTATATGTTTCTTTGGTGAAGGCCTTTGCACAGATTTCAATCTACTCCAATCAGTTTGAAATTGAAAGCAGTTGGACAGACTGACCTTCCTCTCATTAATATACAATGCTTCTGATTCTTTAATCCTTTGTAATAACAGACAGTGTTTAAAACTGATAGTGAAATCTTCCAGCACAGGGTTAGAGTATAACTTCCCACAGCGCCCCCCATAACATTACATATGAAGGAATCTAGGTGGCTGCAAAAGTGGAAATATACGCTTTAAAGAAACCCTGTCACCAGACCAAACTTTTTAGATGAAAACTTTGCAGCAGTAGAAGATAATAAGCACATGCATGTTTCAACTACTTTTTAAAAATATGTATTTTATTTTTGTCCCTTGTGACACATGTTACTTCAGTTAGAACCTGACCACTTCTTGGAAGTATCAGTTCCTGTCTGTGCTGGCCTTTGCTTCTGCCCCCTTCCACTTTTGCTATGTAGGCAAACAGCAGGAGCTTACAAAGCTACTTGTTAGCACCTTAAGAATTACCTAGGGAGTCCCTCCACTTTTCTGCTGTGTAAAAAAAAGTTACCACATGTTTATCCCTGGTCTGGATCTCTGCTGAAGAAGGAAATTCTTTTTTTTTTTAACACAGCAGATATGGTAAAAAGCATTCTGATTAGAATTTGGCTTTAAAAAGAATTTCCAGTTGGAGCAAAATTCTGCACACAAAATGTAGACAAAGCAGGAGCTTATTGAAACATCACTTTCAGCCCCTCTTCTCATCAGAAAAATGAAAGGCTGTTCAGTAAGCCTCAAACATAAAAAATACATAGTAGTTAAGGTTGGAAAAAGACACAGGGCCATCCAGTCCAAACTAAGTGTGTGTCAGTTTGAATATTTAATAACATACATTTGGGTGACAGCGCTGCCTGGGGCCGCAGATCTCAAATTCAAGATGGTGGCACCCAGCGGCAGTCTCAGTCTGTTCAATATCATAATATCGTCAATAATTACGGAAAGATTAAAATCGAAGAAAGAGAAACTATTTGACATATAATGTTATGGAAAGAGTGTTGCTGATATTAATAGTATGGAACAGGGTCTCATTAATTGTTATAACTTGTTACATGCAGCACCTTTAGGGGAAGTGTGGTAGTATTCTGTAATTAGGTTCAAATCTAATTGTTACCAAATTAGAAAACTAAACAACATAATTCTACTGAGCCATACGTCATAGCCGCATTCATTTAATTTTATATTTATTCTGGCTGTAGCCATTTTGAATATATATGTATGCAGGGCTCAATACTCCTCGCAGTTATCTGATTTTGAGTTTGAGAATCAGAATACCTTTTTTTTTTAAATAAATCTTCCCAAAAATATTTCAGTTTTTGGTTGATGCTAAAGATTTAAACCATGTAACAATTTCCCTTAGGCACTTCTTGTGGACTCACTTGGAGTTATTAGCCCTGCACACCTGCCATGACCATTACAAGGCACCCCATTCTCTCTTTACATTATAAAGGATGCAACGAAAAGAGTGGGGAAAAGTGGGAACGCTCCATATTGCAAGGCAAGTGAGTGAGGAAAGAGTCAGGAACTATAGAACAAAGGTCTGACCTTTGGGATTCCCCCCCAAAAATAAAAGAATTCAGTGGGTGATTTAGACTCCACATATAAGTGGAATGTGAGTTTGGTGATGGATTGACCCTGTAAGAAGCACAACTACAGTATATCCATTTAAATTCCCCACACAGTTGATAAATATACAAGTTAGGTTAGAAAACGACCCAAAATATGTTGCTTAGTTTTGGATAGAGTTGGAATGGGCTAATACATGTCAAATCTTTTATTGCTGAGTGTTTTCTTTCCAATTCTTCATTGTCACTGGGACAGATAATGGGATTTGAAGTCTTTCTCACAGGAACACAGACAACAGTAAAACTTAAGGACATGTTCTGACCCTTCCCCACTTCTCTAATAAAAAAGTGTTTTAATTTGTGTTAATGCCCCCTTTGGAGAGACTTTCCTTCATTTCCTGACTCTCTAACCAAAGTAGTAATGCAGGTACATCTCTTGCAAGATATAACCAAGGGTCTAGTAAGGGTAATATAAAAAGTATACCCAAAACCAGTCACTCAGTTACCCAGTCACTGCCTTTCTACAGGTTTTGGGGACCATAATATATCCACACCAGCATGCATGGCAGATCTTTCTCAGCTTTGTACCAATGTTTCTGTCATTTTCCTCCTTAAATTTCCATATGAATATAAAGAATACACCAAGTAGCAGATTCAAGATCCTGGGGCTTTGTTGTAAAAAAAGCAATTACAAAATTGTATTGACTTACCTAAATTGCCATAACTTTGTCTTATAAATTTAAGGTTGTAATGCTGGGCATTACAACCAACTTTGTAGTTAGTCCTGCTTATCTATCTTGTCTCTAAATATATCAATACACGTTTTTGCCCAATGGGAAATTTTCTAATTTTGGTTGTTACCATGGATTTGTCACAATGTACTTACCTGTGGTCACAGCTTTGTCTATGAAATGTGTCTATGCAGACAGACATGTGTACATATATCTGCTTGGCTAGAGAGACACGTTGGTATTAATAGCTGGTTTGCCCAATGTCTACAATTAAACACTTTCCACTGGGTACAATCAGTATTTCAAGAGCTTATGTTAACATAAGGAATAATGCTGTGTAATAAATGCAATTTATAAAGTGAATGATTTTCCTGACTTACAGTAACAAATTTGCTAGAAAGTTGGCTTGCTCCTCCAAATGTGGGCAAACATGCCACATTTCTGTTGAAACGTACAACAGTTTTTTTGCACGTCTTATTAACGTCCTCACTTTTTACATCTGTGGGGATCAAAATCAAGAAATAATGAGTGTATTATATGACATAAGGAATGTTTTATTTATTTTATATGACAAAGTTTTATTATATCTGGGTTGCTGCCAATGTAATGCTGAGTCAGGCTGAAACTAAAGGGGAGAATAGACTGTGTGCTGATGTAAGATGTTTTCCTTCTTGTTCCACTTAATAAACCAGAGAAATTCCTTAGAAGAAAATATTAATAAGAACCTTAAACAACTTTTATATGTAAAAGAAATTCCCACTGGGAAAAATCTAGATATGGCTAGAGACTCTGACCATCATATTGAAAATTGACAACAATCTCCAGGACCATCATCCACCTTCATTTAGTTTACCCACTAGCTGGTCAACATTGGTGGCCGTAACAAGGGTTTTACTCTCATAATGAGAGTGAAAAACCCCTTTGCAGCCAAAGAATTTTACAATCACTGAACTTTCACAATATTTGTAATCTCTGCCTCCAGTGGTTTTTTTGGCAGGTCTAAGTATTCCATAGGAGAGAACCTTGCTCCCCTTGGGCCCAGTGACCCACATCTTTGTGAGCAGGCTTTGATCACACATCAAGCCTCTGTGTTTTTCCTGTGCACAGTGAGGGAGGCTTCTGATAAACCCCGCTGATACCATGCACTCTTAAAGTTAGAAAGAATAGAGGTTCCTACAACTTCCTTACTGGCACAAAATGGTCACAGTTTCGTTTCCCTAGCTTTTAATGGCTTAAGCATAGCATCAGCATGACTATATCATGCTCATGCTACAATTCCACCCATATTCTTTGCAGGATGACCACATTGTATATATGTATTCATACAATGTACATGGACCTTATGTGATGAATACTTAATAAATTAGTAAGAATACTTATTAACCATATACTGTATATGTGTATACATATATATATATATATATATTTATTAGAGAGAGACCCTTTGGCAGATACATTTGCATCTGTTATATGGTCTCAGTTTTTAGATTTGCACAAAGATTATTCGTATTATTTCAGAGTGTTATCTGTATATAAATGCAAGTTTTTTTGGCCTATTGTTCAGTCACTGTGATTCTTTATCACTATGTGATATTAATTTTTTGATTTAAGGGAAATTTGAACTGAAATATGATGCTGCTATTGCTAAACAATCATTGTGAGAATACTAGTTGCCTGGGAGTCATTGCCCGAGAACAAGTATAAGGAATTCTAACTTTACTTGCTGCATGCTTCGTTGTTCAGTGACTCAGAGGGGGTGATTTACTAACCTAAGCACACGCACCCACCAGGTGCGTGTGATTTCCACACAGCAAAACGTATTTATCAACCAAAAAGTCTCTAAAAGCATATTTCCACTAATGCCATATATGGAAAAATCATGCACATGATGCATATATAATGCTGATTCACAGTTTAGACAAAAATGGTTAGCTCATGCATTTACATTCCTGCATTCATCAACGCAAGCAACACAACATAGAGCTAATTTACACAACATCACCTTGTAATTCATGCTTGGCTTTGCACAACACACCTGCCACACAATAGATTCCACCCATAGATCATGCTGGGAGGGAACACACTACAGAGGTGTATACATGTTTGTGGGGTGTTTATAAGGTTAGTAAATCAACCCCAGAGTATTACAAGCTTGTGATCAGCCAACTTTAATAAGCACATGAAATGGTCAATGTCCTATTGCTCCCAAGGCTTGAAGTAGTTGTAAAGTCTAAACTTTGCAAACAAGCCAATGTCATTTACTCGATTTTTATGTAGGTTGCAATGTGCACAATAATTTAAAAAAAAATACCTTTATTTTAAAAGTTTAAAAATGGTCACATGACAGTGATTCGCTTGTAACACTGTGCAGCTGGTGGGCATGTAAAGCTCCAGCGTCCCTGTAGGAAGTAATGTATGGGACATTTGCAGGGGGCATGACAGGATCCTGC